CGCCTTGGGATCCTGACACCATTTGTTGCAGCATTGGATGTGTATGAGCTGCATTCCGTGCTGGGAGGTCACCCCTGGCATTCTGGAATAGTCGTGGGAGTTAAATAAGCTGCTGTTTGCTTCAGGTGCTTTGGATTATGAGACTGGCAAAGACCTGCCATCCAGCCAGAGACAGATCCAGACACTATGTGAAGCAAGCGGGATGGCATGACTATGTCTTTGCTGAGGGAGTGAAGGTACACACTTCAGTTACAGACTACTTTCTTCAATTGCCCAATTTTCCCTCCCTCTTCCACCCCTCCAGTAAATGCTACCTGCTGGCTAAAGGGCATGGGCCTATGTATATGGTCAGTACACGTGACTGTAAGTTTGGTGTTAGAGTCCTTTGTCCTTTATCCAGCTGCAAATCTGCTCAGCTCCATGTGATGCAGCAAGCACGGGGATTTTTGGCTTTTGTTTCTACTGTTTACAAAATGTGGGAAAAAAAAAAAAAGGGAAAAATGCTCAGAAATGGGAACCTCATAAAACTAGAGCAGAGTTGTTTGCACAAGTGAACTGAAAACCTGCAGCAGGATCTGTCAGAGATCTAACCTGGTCATTTGTCTAAACGGGATGTTTACTCACATACCCTGATGTGGTGATTGTGCTGTTCATTTTTCCATATAGCAGAGAAAATGGAAGAGGCTTTTGATTGTGATTTCTTACCATGGTGCCAAAAATAGGTAGCCTTTGAGCTACCCCATTATTATTTTTCTCTAATTAAGAATTGGTAATTCAAACCGTGGTATGTGGGACATGCACACAAAGTGCCCAACTGCAAGACTGCACATGACCAAAGGATCGGCTTGTCTGCACAAGTTTTTGTGAGCAGGAGACTCCTGTGGGTGAATGGCAGAGGTAAAAACCTAACGCGTATGAAAGAACCTGGAAGAATAGTGGTGTCCCTGTGCTTTTGGATCTCGACCTCCAATTTGGAGTCTCCAGCTGGATGCTTGCCTTTCTATTTTCTGGTGACTGTTTGACCAGCACGTTTAGGTGGAAAATACATTTGCTTCCCAGTCTTGAAGATATTGATCTAAGGGAAAATCTTGCACAAAAGGATTAAAAAAAAGTTGGAAAAGTTAAAGTGTGTAATACTGTAATTAGGGCTGAGGGAGTATAAAAAAATTAGTTTAGCACATCACTTGGCAGATGGGAAGTCATTTATGTAAATTTAGGGAAGTGGTACTTGGACTCGGTCTAATTTAAACACTATTTCTAATTATTTTTGGTATGTGTACAGAGGATTATAGGATGTCCATTATTCTGACAGGAGGGCTCTTCATATTTAAATTTAAATCCACAAAGGAGTACCCTATTAAAATGTAAACATGCTGTGATAACAAGCACCTAATTATGCAGACAGGTTAGTCCAGCTATTCTGGTGCACAGCTGTGTGCACTTATTTCGCATAATGCTTTTTCTTATACCCTAAAAACGACTGGCAGGGCCACTGAGAGGTCAAGAGGTACCTGACCCACAGGTGGGAGCTCCCTGTTTGTTTTCCAGGTTTGCTGATGCTGAGTGCAGATCTGAGAGTAGACAGGCTCTCGCAGGTTTCCACTGGAAGCAGGCCCTGATGGCACCCAAAAGCACAGAGAGAAGATGACACAATTAACAATTCCCCCTCCCTACAGTCTGGTGCTGCTAATCCAAGTTAAAACTCCTGACAGCATCTTTGGAGAAACTTCCTCTTTACATCTTGACAGCTTTCTCCTTTTGCCAAGAGAAAGATCATGCAGGTTTACTGGGGAGCTGCCAAATGACAGCTTGGCTTCACACCTGAGAAGCGAATGAATGAAGAGAGAAGGAAAGCCTCAGGCTGCCTCCAGCCTGGCAGAAACGCGGAGTCCTGGGAGCATGGGCGTGAGCAACCCCTGGAGCTGCAGCAGCAGCAGATGTGACATGAGCAGAGTCCAAGTGGAAGCTACTGTGGAGGAGGGAGCGTGGGGTCCATTACCAAAGCACGAAGGTGTTATTTGTCAGCTGCAGGCCCTAGGGTGAGGTGGAGGCCAGGCCATGGCTGATTCTTGGAGGTGTGGGACAAAGCTTGGAGCTCCACACTGTACAGCAGCCCTTTGTGAGTTGATTTGATTGGCTTTTCTTCCCCAAGCCCTTGCAGCAAAGGCTCAGATCAGCTCTTTCAAAAGGCGCATTAACAATCAGCAGGGGGGCTGACAACCAGGATTTATTCTTTAACCACAGCAAAACCCAGTATTTTTGGATGTATAACTCATGTTATATAAACTTTAGGGGTAGAGGGCACCAAGAGCAAGGCTGCATGACACTCACTTCTTCAGTCCTTGGTCATCTGAGGGCAGGGAGTGCCAGTATCCATTGTGGAGAGCTCCAGGCAGCCTGACGGCTGCTAGCACAGCCCTGCGCTGGACTGTGGGTGCTGGGTGACAGAGTACGGGTGCTCTTGAGCAGTCACTCCTCTTCTCCCCACACATACCGTGTGGGGGGTGGATGTCTCTAGCTGGGTGTTTTGTGATACTTAAGCCTTTTTGTGAGATTAAGACTACTGCAGCTGTAAAATACGAATTACCCTTGGCACTTTAACTGCCTGTAGAAAAATTAAAACATGCAATCAAGTAGTTGAAGTTGTGAATTTTAGCCCACATTTAAAAATGGGAGAAAAATGCTTTGCACATGAAGGTTTTTAAAGCAGTATAATGAACACTGTGCCTGACTCATCCTTCGCATGGGATAACTAAGCAAGCTAAGAGGAAATGTCTCCAGGCAGACATTCCTCAGGGCAGGGATTTCCATCTCATTTTTCTTTTTAAGGGAGGAAACTTACAAGGACTGGCCCAAAGACTACATGTTTGTTGCCTGACCCTGCCAGGTGTTTGCACTCTGTTGGTATTTCTAGAAGTCACTGTCCTGGTTTCAGCTGGGATGTAGTTAACTGTCTTAGTAGCTAGTAACTAGTAGCTGGTACAGTGCTATGTTTTGAGTTCAGTATGTGAAGAATGTTGATAACACTGATGTTTTCAGTTGTTGCTCAGTAGTGTTTAGACTAGAGTCAAGGATTTTTCAGCTTCCCATCCCCAGCCAGGACCCCTGACCCAAACTGGCCAACAGTCTATTCCACACCATGTGACGTCCCATCTAGTTTAGGAACTGGGAAGTGGGGGGGCAGGGAATCACCGCTCGGGGACTGGCTGGGTGTCGGTCAGTGGGTGGTGAGCAGTTGCCCTGCGCATCATTTGTACATTTCAATCCTTTATTACTACTGTTGTCATTTTATTAGTGTTATCATTATCATTATTAGTTTCTTCTTTTCTGTTCTATTAAATCGTTCTTATCTCAACCCAGGAGTTTTACTTCTTTTCCTGATTTTCTCCCCCCTCCCACTGGATGGGGGGGAGTGAGTGAGCGGCTGTGTGGTGCTTAGTTGCTGGCTGGGGGTAAACCACGACAGTCACCTGGAGGCCAGGCATATCTAGCTGGATGCCTTTGCAACAGCTTTCAATTCATGGGAACAACTGTTCCTATAGTACCAGGTTGGTGTACAAGGACTGCAGCACTGGATCTTCTCTAGCTGGTGACTACCACAGAAGTGTCTGTAACATGAAGGCTGGGAAAATATCCGGCTGTTGTATCAGAGTATGTAAGGGATGTCAGATAACCCGGGGCTGCGCTACAGAGGCAGCAGGAGCTCTGTAGAGCCTCATGGGAACATGAGGTGAGTAATCACAGCTGCAATTCATTTCAAAGAGACAAATGAGCTCCCCTAGAGAAAGGTGGGACACTTCTGCTGAGAGGGCTGATCACCTTTTTTTTTTTTTTATGGGAGAAAGGCTACTTTCAGGTTCAGGTGAAGGAATTCAGTGGGAAAGCCTTCTGCATTCTTCTGAGGGTGGGCATGTTCATCACAATTGTGGAGATACTGACTGACTTGCCTGGGACATAAAGGAAGTCAGTGTTAAAGCCAGGAACTGACCAAAGAGACCTCCCAACTCACGTCTTCAGTGCGGTGCTTCAGCCATGAGGCTGTCCTTCCTCTGTTTCTGCTGACCCTTCATTATACACTTTTCTCTGTTAAAGTTGAAAAGCTGACTGCTTGGCAGCTGAGAATTTACCCTTCCTCTTGGCCCTGTACAATAGCAGCTTTTCAGACGGAATCTGCACAAAAGAAACATTTTGTTCTTTCTCTGCTGATCAGAAGAGCTGAGCAGCAGCTACATTAAAAGCACGGGGTTCTGACCCTAGCTCACATTGTATCCAAAGACAAAGCTTCCACGGGTATCGGCAGACGTGGCAGAAGACCTATGCTCTGAGAAGAGCGCTGCTAGCGAGCTGCCGTTGAGTAAATGAACGCAAAACAATGAAAAAAAAGTCAAGACTTCCTAAAATGAAAACACACATTGTTAGCTGGCGTTGGCCCTTCGAACTAAGGCTGCGGCACAGCGGCTGGTGCCAGCTCTGGTGCCGGGGGACACCCCCAGGGCCGCAGCTGGGTGCGACACTCGCGGCCGCCTCCGCGTCCTCCCCCGCGGGGCGAGGCTGCGGGGGCCGGGCCCCCACTTGCGCACGGCCGTTGAAAGAAGAAAAAAAGGAGGAATCGCCCGTTCCAGCAGCTTTTCTCCCGAGATGCTCACGCTGAAGGAGGCGGGAGGGCCCGGGCCCCCTAGCCCCTCTTCCCCGGGTACTTGCTCCGGCTCGGAGCCGAGGCCCAGGCCGCGGGCAACCCGTTCCTCCCGGATATCGCCCGCCGCGCTCCGCCGGGCCGGAAGCGGACGCGCGGGGAAGGGGGGAGGGGGGATTAGGGAGGCGCATGCGCAGGAGGTGTTGCCCGGCCGCGCCC